ATGCTGCAGCACAGGCAGTATGAGAAGAATAAAGAGCTTTTTGAACATTAAATCATGGAAACATGTCACAGTAAAGGCACAAAATACAAATATGAACCTGATAATGAGCGTAACTGGGCCCCTTTAAAATGTAAACAAAAAAAAGCGAGGCAAATGTGTTTAGAAGGGACAGCAGTGTTTGCAACTGCAGAGTTACTGATTTAATTAGGACGACAAGAGGGAAATTGACTTAAGATCAAGATCAAAATAAAATGCCTTCACTTGACATACAGCTGACATCAAGTTTACTACACTAGATGTCACTTCACACACAAAAGCGGGGACAAATATGATACACGTTATATTGACAGGACAGGCACTTGATCTCCGGAGAATAGCATTGGCTTATGTTCTCTTGTTTTTCCAAGAAAAACCCCTTTTTGCATGTAAAACGTTGACCATGTCCAACTGGTTTTTTTCAACCAGTAATAACTATGACTGAATAGATGTTATAGTGTTGTCAAAGCTATTTTGACATATAGAGAGCGGTGCAGGAATGAGTCCTAAATCTAGGAAGTTAGCATTTAACCACTTCTGGTTGCCTCGACTGGAAGTAAAAGGTTTTTTAAAACATATTTGTTGGTTGGATGCGTGAAATAAGATCTGGTTAACACAAGTTTAGGAGATGTTCACATTTTGTTCTACAACATAAAATATGTCAGTTTTAACCCCACTTGTGAATGTCAGAAGCTATTAAAAGTATTGAAAAGGCGGTTGCTAACAAGTGACTAAATGAGACTACTAAACCTCATCACGCCAAACATTACCCGCCTTTAGCTCAGCATTGGTGACGCACAGTCATGAAACCGTGATGTAGCTTGTTTATAGCCTTACGGTAGCTTTTTCCTCTGCTATTTACATTTTTGCTACAAAAACGTGTAAGTATCATAAATGTGTGTTTACCACAGATCTTATTTTCTGCAATATTCCCAAATCCAATAGAAAAATCCCCATTGCTACTTCCATCTTTGCCCTACTAAAACACACCATCACATTACCAGCAATAAACAGAAACGAGTTTGTTTCACTATACAGAGAGTTTTAATCAATGTTAGAAAACAAAATGCAGTCAAGAGCTTATAAAATAAACTTTTGAGAACTCTTCAGCACTCTTAGTGTATCCTAATAGAAGGAACAAGCTTTCTTTATGTCAGTTGGGAAACATACAGTATAATATTTCCATAGAAAGCTGTTAAGAAATTAGCATATCAGAAAGATTATAGTCAGACACTTACTAACATTTTCTGTGATGGTCTCTCTAATCATACAAACACCAGAAACTCATGACGGAATAGAACATGGTTATGAAATATCACACATTTCAATTGCTCTTGATGATAAAACACAAAGAAAAGGAGTAAAAAACATGATTACAGTGATTCCTCTATTAATCAAAATACCCACTGTGGATGACAGGCACTTATGAATGAGTTTACAGGTAAAGCTCTCTCCTTTAGGACCAAAACACTGCCTAAAATCAAACATCTCCCGTATTTAACATGTATAAATATCAAAACAGAAACTAATAACATGCTCTTGTCAATAATATAATTTTCTTGTTTTGTTTGAAGGAATATAAAATGGATGTGGTTGTCTATCACCGACCTGTTTACGCAATAATTAACATGTATGATATTAGCCAAATAGCACTTTCTCCAAAATCCACAGTTGAGCAGTGAATATGCTGCATTTTTCGCACTCTAACATGATCTTTGGTGAGAATGTAAACAATTGGACAAGAACAAAAGTATAAGGCTTGTAGCAAAATGTCAAAAAGAATCCATACAAATAAATGTTTACCTGATTAGGAATTCTTCAAGTTGTCACATAGCATGGATTAATATAACTTGCCAGGCCTTCACACTTTAAACAACAAACAGTGCTCATAATAATAAGCAAGCCTTAATTCAGTATAGCCACTTCCCCCTTGAACAAAATGAAAACAGTGAGCTTTGAAGAGTATTACAATATAGTTACTATTTAGGATCCCTTTCTGATATGGATTAACTGAAGCGTAATGAAATAGCAGGAAGCCGCAGTGAGAAGAATTGGGGGTTGAAACAAAGGCGAGACAAGCTAAAATACATGGGTGAAGGTGGATAAGCATCAACGTCCCAGACATAAGGCACATTAATAGAGTATATAGTGTTGTCTCCAACCATAATACCCTTTAATATAAAAAATCGGCCTGAAAACACGCCCAGAAAATGTGACATTTCGCAGGACACACCAACTACCCACCTACCCATCCATCCGTCATTCTGTCCGCTCTCTGGCACTCTACCACTGCTCCCAGCTGAAGTCGTCCCCGCCTCCGAACACCAGGAAGAAGCCGAGGATGGTGAGGAAGATGACGGCGTTTCCTGTCATCACCAGACCGCACGCACCCCACTGGATCTGTAGGAGGAAAATATTCATTGTCGATCAGACCAAAATAACACCATAGTCTTCTATTCATAGTTTTAATTTGATGACAAAACACTAAGGGAACTCCCACGTGGAGGAGAAAACAAAGATGTGTTGCACTGACTGCCACCAACAGCTTAGTTTTTACCACAATGTTGCCGAAATGACGGATAGCTGTCTATTGGAAAGGCTGTAGGGCTGCACGATTTAGAAAAATGAACGATCGCGATTATCTTAACTGATATTGCAATAGCAATACGATTTGCGATATTGGAGGGATTAAATCATATCTGCATCATAATTGACATTAACATTGAAAGTTATATTAACATCATAATGGTGCCGTTTACAAGTTTTTCATACAAGTGCAGAGGTTGTCAAATGCTGAGTAATTAAAATGTAGGTTAACATAACATAATGACATCTTGACATATTACTGCATAGCTTACAGCACTAGATAAGAAAAATGTCCACCCACACAACCAACGTTGGGTAGCTAACTAGCACTCATCTTTTATTTGAAGGTAATAAACTTGTCTTTTATTCCCCCAAACACAGCATTATTGACCGATCCATATCGAACGTACAGATTACTGTCTGTTCTTTTGTATGCTTTGATCTTGGAAACTTTATAAGGTTATTGATTTTTCAGAACACATGACTAATTATGGCAAAGGTACAGCTCAGATGGTAATGATTGAAATATGGCAGCGGGTTCTGTTCATGGGTCACACATGCCAAAGACTTGCGGTTTGTTTCCATTTTGATACCATGGGTTGGAAAGGATGAATTGTAGACAGGCTTGTGAGGTTTCTCTATAAAGTTCCCAGTGTTATCTGCCATTTTGTAGCCTTCAAGGTCTTCGTATCAGTCACATGACTAAAACACATGAATCAGTTTCACAACGCTCTGCTGGCACATTGTACTGAACATTTCTCAAGATACAGTGAGTGTGAATATACCAACAACTTATGTGAGAAAACACACACAATCAACACAAACAAACAAAAGCCAATAATAGTGGCTGTGTTCACCCTATGGAAATAATCTTTTCCAAAGTATTTGAGCACGGTTAGAGATAACTCACCGTGGTGGTCCGGGCTAGCACAATGGGAAGCCCAAAAGAAGATACCACAATGCCAGTTGTTAGGAAGTAGGCCAGCTCTCTGCATGCGTTGCTGGAGGAATCATCATCGCTGAGGCGTCTGGATATGAAGGTCGGGATGGGGCTCAATATGTAGAAGAACAGGACAAACAGCGGCCAGTATACCCTGAAGAAACACAGGTTATAACAGTTATACATGAAAGATAGATGGTCCATGTTGTATTATGTAGGACGACATGAGTTAGCAGCTTGTCAGATAAAAACAAACATGTAGAAGTATTGCCTCACCTACAGAGCTTTGCACGGTCAGACTCCTGCTTATGTGGCCGACTTAATTCACCCTTATACATCAGCCCGCCCACTCCGGTCTCACAGGCTAAATGTACTGTCTGTCCCACGTACCCACCTTAAGACCCACGGTGATCGAGCGTTCGCAGCTGTGGCTCCTAAATTATGGAATGCTCTGCCTGCTCATCTATGGTCTGTGGAGTCTGTTGACTCTTTTAAAACTACACTGAACAAAAATATAAATGCAACACTTTTGTTTTTGCTCCCATTTTTCATGAGATGAACTCAAAGATCTAAAACATTTTCTACATACACAAAATAACCATTTCTTTTTATTTTTGTTTGTTTTAAATTTCATTTGTAAGTTTTGTTTTATTGTGTTTTTATTGTGTCTTAATTATGTTCAGGTGCTTTTATGACTTCTTAACATGTGGCTTGTGTGTTCATTGATCATTGTACTATGTTGATGTCTTATTGTTTTGTCAAGCAATTTGCGACTTTGTCTGTGAAAAGTGCTTTATAAATAAACTCTACTTACTTACTTATTACCTTCATTGAAAAAAATTACATAATCATCAGATATCTCAGCTTGGGTTTCGTTTAGTTTTTGTTTAGTTTCTCGCAGAAAAGCCTTCATTACAAACTAAAAGCGTGGGCTTTGAAATAAGTGGGCAGAAAAAAGGCAGTACGACTCTAATGGAAGAAGCTATTGAGTTGCATTGTGGAAATTGTAGGATTCATTTTGCTAGGAGCTTGACCCTTTGCGGCCTTGATTTTCACTATTCTTTATCAAATCTGCCTCTTAAATACTCCTTAGGAAAGTGCAATACTTGTTGCTGGAGCACCAATTCAAGGGGTTTTAGTTAACTGTGAGAGACTACCCTTTCACTGTAAAATATGTTAACTATCGATTTAAGCCTCATTTATCACGTGTTTCTTAAGCAATAACTTCAATTCTTCGGCATGACAATAAACCTACCCGTATTGTTCCAGTCCGCAGCCCAGAAGAAGAAATGTGAGTCCAATGGCACCGCTGAAGGACAAACCCACCAGTGCTGAGGAAGAGAAACATTACGTTACATTTACAGGGATGCTGTGTCCAAATTACTGTACAAACAAAACAGAAATACGATAGGCTTGTAAATAAATTCAATTCAAAGCTACGTTAAAGCTTGTGACACATCGTAAAATCCCCCAGTAGTGTTGTAATGATAGCTTTCGAAATGATTCAGCAAAGGTTTCCATAATGTTTAAAACTAAAGTTGTTTAAGCATTAACCTACTCGACACTACATTAACGCAACTCTTAGCTGTAAACGGACTACTACACAAATAAAACACAATACCTTTAATTCCTGCCATTGCGCTGTGTGAAAGTTTCTCTTTGAGTTGAGCTGTTCTTTGTTTATTGTTGATGTGGTCGAGCTCTTGATCACAGACTTCCTGCTTCCTCCATAGGGTTTCCTTCTTGGTCGTCACGTGACCGTCTTAAAAGGACAGTAGCTCAGATTGACTCCAACTGCAGACTGTGTATTTCCACTGCTAACCGTGTTTGCAGAAACACACACACACACACACACACACACACACACACACCAACAGGTGCTGCTTGTGGGCACTGGGCACATTATCAAATGTGCATACCGTTTAAGAATAGCTTGCTGCTCCCATGGTTGCAATACCTCGTGACGAGGAGCACAAGACCACGCAGCGCTGCTCATGGGGGTCTAGATTAACACCCACGTGATATCAGAGACGTATTGTTTCAATAAATTACTCTCAAAGACTGGTCAGACTACTTTTAAATCCAGGCTGAAGACTTTTCTTTTTGCCGCTGCTTTTAATTGAACTATTCACATCTTAAACTGCACTGTAACTTTTATTCATGTATTTTTTTCTTTTAATGTTTATTTGATTATCTTTGCTTTTTAATGACTGATTTTAAATGCCATTTTCTTAATGTCTTTCATTTTTTGTAAAGCACTTTGAATTGCCTTGTGTTGAAAGGTGCTATATAAATAAACCTGCCTTGCCTTTAATAGTTTATTGTCACCTCAATTTTAAATATATAATATATACTAAACGGCTTGTTGGAGCTCCTGAAAAGATTGTGTGTGTGTGTGTGTGTGTGTGTGTGTGTGTGTGTGTGTGTGTGTGTGTGTGTGTGTGGAAGTCAGCGGTCCATTTGGACCAATCCGCGGAGACGTTACGTCACTATACCCAATACTCACTGTACTTAGTTACTACACTATAAGAAGTTAACAATGGAAAAAGAAAAA